ACTAGGAAGGGTCTACTTAACTTGTGCTCTAACTTGTCATCATCCTGCCTCAGCCTCCCAGAACGCTAGGCTCACAGGTGTGCTCCACCTCGCCAGGCTCACTCTGCCCATTCTATTCCACCCTTTCCCGCTGGGTTCTACGCAAGTCTATCTGATTCTTTTCCACACTACGTGGTGGGCTCCAGGGCTGGCAGCACTTCCTGTAGGTCAGGAATGAACTCCTCGGCCCAAGTCCACCAGGCAGGGAGGACTGGCAGGTACTCACACCTGCTCTCTCCCCTACTCCATCCTTCACCTTCCACCCTCACTATCTTCTCCTGTGTCCCTTTGTGTCCCAAATGACCCTGTGAGCGCACAGCCCTTCCCCAGCGCTGCAGACCCAGCCCTCAGCCCTGCCCCTGTGCCCGACCTTGATGAACAGCCGCCACCACTGCCAGTGCCTGAGCTTGAGGTAGGCCGCGCAGTTCCTCTGCATCACCCTCAGCGCGCTCTGCTGCTGCTGGCGCCTCTGGAAGGCCCTGTGGACGGCAGAGGCGGTGAGGACGCTCGGCCCTGTCCCTCGGCTCTGCTGGCCATTGTTGAATGCCCACCGTGGGCGGTGCCATTCTGTTGCATGGGCCTCGCTGTTTGCTGCTGCTCCCGCTCTTGGCCCTGATGCTCCACGCTCTGGCTCGGCTGCATCCTCGTCCATCACGGCCCTCGCCTCCTCCCAACCACCCATGGCTCCCCAGTGCCTTGCACAAGGCCCCCCGCCCTCAACCTGGTGTTTGGGGTGTCCTTCCTGCAGCCCTGCTTCTCGCTTAGCTGCTTCTGCCGGGGATGGAGACTCACCCAGCCGATCTGCAGCTTCAGCCATGCCAGGCTGCACACCACAGGGCCCTGACAGGCAGCCCTGCCTGCCCTCCTGGGTCCTCCTGGTTTTTGACACCTTGGTGGCCCCATCAGAAGGCATCGCAGCCTTGACCAGGACTCTGTCCTCTGTGTCCCTTCCAGCCGGCATCCCCAGAGGGTGTGGCTGCGTGGGCCACCTGGCAGCTTGGCCTGCTTTCCCTAGATTCCCTCTGCTCTAACAAGGAGGTTCCTGGTCACCCTGGCTACCCTGGTCACTCAGCCCAGGACCTGGCTCGAGGGCCCAAGGATGGCAGAGCCAAAAGCTGAGGGCCCTGTAGCGCTGCCTAGGCACTGTCAGCTCTTCTGCTGTAGTGGAGGTCTGGGGGCCATCAGTCACCCTCAACCTGACCCGGTTCAGTCCAGAAGGCCCCAGATGACACCGCAGTCCCCACCTGCGTGCCAGGTAGCCCCGTGCAGCTGCTTGGAAGGACACAATGATGTCAGTGACCTTCAGGTCCCGTTCTTCTTCCAGCTGGGCCAGGACCCCTGCCCGGAAGAAGATCTTGCTCTGTCCCACACGGTACAGATTGGGGTCCAGTTCCAGGGCCTGGATCTGTAAGGGCGGGGCAGGCGGTGAGGAGGGCTAGGGGAGCTGCCCCCAACCCCATGCACATGCACACCCCTTGCCTCACCATCTTCTCACAGGCCTGCTTCCCATCCATGAAGCCCTTGGGGATGGCGTTAGGTGTCAGGATCTCGTACCTGCAGCATGGGAGTAGGTGGGTGGTCAGGGTTACTGGGATGGAGGGACCAGAGTCTCAAGACTTGAAGCAGTAAGCAGTCTTTTGCTAATTTTTTTATATTGATCACATTAAAGTATTTTGGATGCAGTGGGTTAGATAAGACTGCTTGTTAAGATGTGGCTACTAGAAACTCTTCAGGGCCAGGGAGATGGCTCAGTGGAATAAGCGCTTCCCTGGCAAACGCAAGGGCCTGAATTCAATCCCCGGTTCCACAAAATAAATAAATAAAATAAAATATTCAGTTCTACATGTGACTCCACTTTCTCTCTCTCTCTTTTTTTGGGGGGGCCGAACCAGGGATTGAACTCAGGCCTTTGCACCTGCCAGGCAAGCGCTTATTCTACTGAGCCATCTCCCCAGTCCCTTTCTCTTTTTAACCTCCCTTTCTTTCCCTCCTTTCCCCTAGCCTCCCTCCCTCCTTTCACTGGGGATCGATCCCAGGGCCTTTACACTGAGCTGCATCCCCAGCACTCCCAGCACCCCCACCCCAGTTCTAAGTCGCGCAGCCTGGGCTCCAATGCGCTCCTCTTGCCTCCGCCTCCCGAGTGCTGAGATTCCAGGACGCGGCGCCTGGCTTGGTTTTCTGGTGCTAAAGAACAGCAGCACCAGATGGCTGGTGGGAAGCATCTTTTTGTTACATTTGCCATTTTACTTGCTTATTAGACTTTGATAGTTTCTGTTCTTTTCTGTTTCATTTTCAAAATACAGCTTGTAACACACTAAAGTGAGTTCCCATTTAAGGCTTTGGGAATCCCAGCCCCTCTCAGAGCTTTCTCTCGGGGAATTTCGTTTTCCCCAGCACAGGGGGAAACTGAGGCGCCAAAGCATGCGTGGCCCAGGCCCGCGCTCACCGCTGCCGGAACTCCTGGAAGAGGATGCGGTTGGGGAATCCCTGGCGGCAGATGCGGATGCCCTCGAGGACGCCATTGCAGCGTAGCTGGTCCAGCACTAGCTTCGGCTCCAGCTTGCCCGCCTGCGGGGCGAGGGGAGCGTGGGTCGGCGGCGGCCACGCGGGGGCGCCACTGCGCCCCACCGAGTGACAATAACCTGACTTCCCGAGTGCTCGCAAGTCCCTGGCACCTAACCTGGTGGCCTCACTTCCGTCCCACATCCCTCTGTGGGGCCGGCTCTGATTTTCCCGACAAGATAGTCTCCCCGAGTCCTGAGAGGCCACACGTAGGCAGCACCCCTAGCCATGCTCTCCTTCGCGCTTTGTGGACTCTGAGCGGCCCTTGAGCCCTTCTCTGCGTGCGAAGCCACGTATCTCTGGAGCTCACACATCCGCTTCTCCGGGGAGCCCTCCTCGACTTTGCTGGCCAGGTGGGACCGTAGGGAAACTTACGACCCCTACAAACCCACCTGGACATGCATTTTGGGGTTTGGCTGGGAGCCTGTGCTCCTAGGGCGGGGGAGATTTAAGGTCAGCAAGCACAGAGAGCCCGAAAGTAAACAGCCTGCTCAGAAGGAAGAAGCAGGCTTGCCTAGCGCCCGGCAGCCACATCGTTGCCCTGCCCTCTCTGGGGCCACTCACCCGCTTCTCATGGTTGGGGACGATGCAGCGGACGAAGCTGGGGTTGGTGTTGCTGAGTGTGGCCATCAGGCGGCTCAAGGACTCCTTGTAGAGCTGCCCCACCGTCCGGAACATGCCACGGCGCGGGCGGCCACCCGGCGGGCCGTCCCCAAGGCTGCTCACCTGCTCCAGCCCCACGATGCCCTCCACTGCAGGAGGGACAGGTGCGAGGTCAGCCTGGCGAGCCTGGCCCGCTGAGGCCAAGGGTCTTACTGGCCAGACCTACGCCATAATGCACACAGGGCATGTGCCACGAGGGAAGGGGAAGGGGGTGTCCACTCCTTGGCCAGCGAGTAGACTGAGGCCGGCCGGTGCCAAGCACCAGGGTCGGCCGTGTGCACCCCCAGCCCCACTCAGGCTTGACTTCTGCTCTCCTTAGCAACAGATGACAGCGATGTTGCTGCAGCTGCTGGCTGACTGGTGGGGCTTTGCTCAGGGAGCTGTCTAGAAGGACTCTTCTCATCTTACGGGGGTGGGGAACTGAGGCCCAGAGCGCAGCCCCTTATGTGCCGCAGCTGCTAGGGGGCAGAAGCCCAGCCTGATTTCTAGGTGACCCCAGTCTCACTGCCACTCCTTCTGGGGCCGCTTCCACTAGTGAAAACCACCTGAGGCCTCCTGCATCTGGCAGCAATTTTGTGTACCCAACGCTGCCAACTTTCTCAGGAACCTCATGTCCTGCAAAGCTCAGCCCACCGCAGAGCCAACTGGGTAATCAGCTTTAGGGCAGGGCCTTGTGTGCGGTGGGGGCTCATAAACCTGGCTTTTTCTTCCCTAAGTGTGACTGTTTTCTCTACTGCTGTGCTTTTGCTTATTTTCAAAATAATAATCATTAATTCAGTTCTCATAATGCAGGGATGGGGTAATGTTCAGAGTTCAAATCCCAGCTCTGCTACCTACAGGCTATGTGATCCCAGGCAAGTCATTTAACATCTCTGTGCCTCAGTTTCCTCATGTGCATGCTGGGGGGTCCTGACATCTTCCCCACTGGGTGGATGGATTCTGGGTGTAGATGATAAGAGGGTTTTCTGGGTCTGAGTGGAACATAGTAAGTGCTCAAGAAATGCCAGCGGGTACAGCTACAGAATCTGGGCTGCTGGGAGTCAGCAGGAGGCAGCGGAAGAGCAAGAGACTCCACAGGGACAGGAGAGGGGACAGAGGCCCGAGCCGGCTCCCAGCCCACAGCCACCCTCCTCACCCACAGGCCTCACCGTCACCGCAGAGACACCCACCCCCTGGCAGGCAAGAGGCAGAGCAGCACCTCCCTGCGGATCCGGGGAACGGCAGAGGAAAGGAGCCCAGGAAAGAGGCCTGCGTGGGGTCCCCGTGTTCTGGGGAGGGAGGGCAGATGTGGCAAGATGGCAGGGGGATGTGGGGAGATGGAGGGAGACGCATGAAAAGAGGAGGGAAAGGTGGAGAGAGAGAAAGAGGAGAGGCCCATTAGACAGCAGCACAGGGCAAAGCAGGCCGGAGGCCTGGACGCTGGCTACGAACTTCTCTTGTCCCATCTACCTTGGTATCTACCTGCTGAGGGCATCAGCACAGACCAAGAGAATGAGTGTCTGATGTGAGGAGGGGACAAGAGAAAAACAACCCATCTCCACAGGCCACGTCTGTGTGGGCCGTATCACAGAGTCCCTCTTTGGCTTGGCTGCCAGGAAGCTCAAGAACTGAAGATCCGGATGGATTTCTCTGTTCTGTCTCTCAGAAGAGAGCTCACCTCACCTCCCTTTTCTTCTGGGCTACCAGCATGCCGCGCGCCCAACTCCATGACCTAAGTCAAGACTGATGCCCAAAAGGTCCCAGTTCCCTTCCGCTCCCTGTGGCTTGGAGCACCCCGAATCTGGGCAGACTCGGTGACCACTTCGCTTTAGGAGAAACTGCCAGCTCCGTGCCTGATTCGGCAGCCTTTGCAGCCTGCACGGCTGGGACACAGGCTCGCTCACTGGCATGATCATGTGTCCTGGACAGGGCCGCACATTTTAAAAATGTGTAGACTGTCCTAGATGATTCTCACAGCAGAATCTGGCTCTGTACTAGACACCAAATGCTGCCTTCCAATCCCTGTGGGTAGACACCTCGAGTTTCTCTCAGGCATCAGCTCAGGAGAGCAAGGCGTCCCATACAGCGCTGTGTTCAGGGAGCTTACTCTGTTTTCTTGCCTACTTGTGTGGGCCATGCTGCTACCTCTGTCCTTCTGAGGTTGATGAAAGATTACAGCAAACTAAGAAATTCTGAAAAACTGGACCGAGACAAAACCAACATGTTGGAGGGCGGGGAGATGGCTCAGTGGAATGAATGTTTCCCTGGCAAGCACAAGGGCCTGAGTTCAATCACCGGTTCAACCAAAAAAAAAAAAAAAACAAAAACCCAACATGCTGGTGGTTTGGTGGTGGTGGTGTTTTCATGTATTTGGTTCAGAGTCTCACTAAGCAGTTTGGACTCACAGTGATCTTTCTGTCTTCAGCCTCCCCAGGGCTGGGATTACAGGCATGTGCCACCACATCCAGACTCAGTGGCCAGCTCAGTGCACCCGGGGGGTCTTCCCTGGTGGTCTAGTGGTTAGGATTCAGCGCTCTCAGTGCACCCGGGGGGCAGGAATGGCGCAGCATGTGGAACCGGGAATCAAACCCTGCTTAGTCTGCCGATCTATCTTGCTGGCCCTGGTGGCTTTATTTTATTTTATTTTATTTTATTTTTTGCATTTAGTACAGGGGATACAGGGTCTACAGTAGATCGGACTTGTAGTGATTCTCCTGTTTTCAGACTCTCTAGCGCTGGGATTATAGGTGTGCGCCACCACACCCAGTCTCAGCCCACCTTCAGGGTGGGGCCGGCATGCCCGGGATCAAACCCTGACCATTGTGCTCTGCCTAAGCAGGTGCTTTAGTCCTCTGAGCTATCAGGCTGGCCCTTGTTTTATAAAACCATTTCTTTTTCTTTTCTTTTTTTTTTTATTTATGTGTATGTGTGTGTGTGTGTGTGGCCAGCTCAGCCCACCAGGGGGCGGGACTGGCTGGCTTGTGGTGCTGGGGGATTGAACCGCGGTCCCTGTGCTTTGCTAAGCTTGTTCTAAGTAGGTGCTTTAGACCACTGAGCCATCTCACCAGCCCCTATAAAACCATTTCTCAAACTGTCCCAGGGCTGGGGTGGCAGACTGGGCTCAGCGAAGATTGGAGACCCATGCCCGCCGCAAAGGCACTGCGTGGCCCTGCCTGAGCCTCCCTGAGCAGGATGCTGGAGAAACTGTCCCTGAATCCAGAAGCCCTTGCACACTCCGTCTCCACCTGCCCATGGCTCCTCTCCTCCTCCCTGGGGATGAGAAAGGGACTTGTGAAGGAGCGAAGAAAGAGTCCCAAAACTGACAGGACTGCAGAATCTCCCCCATTCTGAGTTCCCTCATTATCGCTTCTTTCAGCCAAGCCTCCAAGTGCACACCTGCCTACACCGAGGGAACCAGGAGCATGCTTCTCTCTTCCTGGAGCTACCTATATCCAGCCGCTCTCTGTGCCTGCAGCACCTGCAGCCATGGGTCCTGCAAACCGCGGATCAAAAATACGTGGGAAAGGGGCTGGGGTGATGGCTCAGTGGAATAAGTGTTCCCTGGTAAGCGCAAAGGCCTGAGTTCAATCCTCGGTTCAGCCAAAAGAAAAAAAAAAAAAAAACATGGGAAAAAAAACCTACATCTGTGCTGAACAGGTACAGAGTTTTTCCTTGTCATTATTCTCTAAACAATATAGTCTAACAGCTAGTTCCATGGCATTTACATTGTGTTAGGGATTATAAGTGATCCAGAGATGATCACTTATGGGATATGCCAGGCATGGTGACGTGTGCCTGTAATCCCAGGACTTGGGAGGCTGAGGCATGGGCATCCTTTTTTTTTTTTTTTAATTTTTTTTTTTTTGTGTGTGTGTGTGTGTGTGTGTGTGTGTGTGTGTGTGTGTGTGTGTGTGTGTCCAGCTCAGCCCACCAGGGGGCGGGGCTGGCTGGCTTGTGGTGCTGGGGGATTGAACCGTGGTCCCTGGGCTTTGCTAAGCTTGTTCTAAGTATAAGTAGGTGCTTTAGACCACTGAGCCATCTCACCAGCCCCAGGGCTATCCTTTTGAGTTCAAGACCAGCCTGGGCTACAAAGTGAGCTCAAGGATAGTCTGAACTGCATAGTGAGACCGTGTCACTGGGCATGAACCCAGGGCCTTTGCACTGAGCTACTCCTCAACCCTTCCTTTTTTTTTTTTTTAACCCTTCCTTTCTGTGGTGTATTTTGAGATAGGGTGTTGCCAGCTCACTAGGGCTAGGCTCAAACTTTTGTTGTGTTTTGTGTTTTATTTTTGAGACAGGGTCTCCCTAAGTAGTGCAGGCTGGCCTTAAACTCGCTTATGTAGCCAGAGCCGGCCTCAAGCTCATGGTGATCCTCCTGCCTCAGTGTGCACTGCCACGCGTGGCAGGGCTCATAATTTCAATCCTCCTGCCTCAGCCTCCTCGAGTGCTGGCATCACAGCGTTCTGCTAAAACACCTGGCTGCTAAGGCGCTTTATAGGACTTGAGCGTCTTTTGTATGAAGCACCCTTGGTGACTGAGGAGGACCCTGGGACCGATCCCTGGCAGATCTTTTTTTATTTTATTCATTTTTTACAATTATTTAGAGAGTGTGTGTGTGTGTGTGTGTGTGTGTGTGTGGCCAGCTCAGCCCACCACGGGGCGGGGGCTGGCTGGCATGTGGTGCTGGGGGATCCAACCGTGGTCCCTGTGCTTTGCTAAGCTTGTTCCAAGTAGGTGCTTTAGACCACTGAGCCATCTCTCCAGCCCCCCTGGCAGATTTTGAGGGACAGTTGTGCTTGGTTCTTTTTCTGGTCTGACTGCATGGCTGTTTTTATTTATTTATTTTTTATTTTTTATTTTTTTTGGCGGAACCGGGGATTGAACGCAGGCCCTTGCGCTTGCCAGAGAAGCACTTATTCCACTGAGCCATCTCCCTGGCCCCATGCATGGCTGTTTTTCCTAAGACAGTGATGGACCACAGGCGGACAGGGCGCCCTGTCTCATTCTGATCAGCTGGGAGAATTTTATCCCTGAACTCTGTGCTGTGGGTCTTTGTTCGTTTGTTCTGTATTGTTTTTCAGATAGGGTCTTACTACGTAGCCCAGGGTGGCCCTGAACTCACAATCATTCTCCCGCCTCAGCCCCCTAAGTGCTGGGTGAATGTAACAGCGGGTCCATCCGCCCATAACCGGAAGTGCTGTCGTGCAGCTGCCCACTCTGGGACTGAGCAGATAACGTGGCCGAGACCACAGCCTCTGGGGTAAAGGTGCACCCGCTCTGGTCTGGGACTGGGGCTGCACACAGGTCGGAGACAGGCTGGGAAGGGTGCTCACCGTCTTTCCAGATCTCGGCTGTGAGCCGGTCTGTGCTCTGGTGCAGCAGGGCTGCCACGTTGTCATTCAGCGGGTCCATGTTCTTCATCAGCCACTCGTTAGCCTTGTAGTCGACCTGAGCGAAGCCAGGGGATGGTGTGACTCAGGGTAGCTGAGCCTTCCCACAGCGAGCACTATGGCAGGCCTGCGGGCGCCACCTAGCGTCCGCGCTGGGAACTGCGATAGGCCTGTGCCCATCCCGGCCCACCCTCTTGACTCCGCCCCACCCTCCCGGCACCGCCCTTTTCTTCTGGCCCCGCCCACCAGGCCCCGCCCTACCTTGCCGGCGTAGTGCAGGACGCTGAAGTCAGCCTGGTCCCGCAGGTGCCTGGGGCGCTGGAACTTGGGGTGGCCTCCCTGCTCCTGGGCCACTTTCTCCACGAACGATTTGTCCGTGGCCTTCGGGAACCAGCACTCCTCATCCAGCAGGGCCAGAAGCCCGGGAGGGTTGGCCTGGTTGCCCACAGGGTGGGAAGAGGTCAGATCCCCAAGGAATGGGCTCTGAGGTTGCCGCGGTCCGAGCCCCGGGTAACCAGTGCCTGCAGCCCCCGGGGCTCACCGGGCGCTCGATGAGGTCGATGCAGGGCTGCAGGTCGAGGCCGAAGTCCAGGAAGGTCCAGGGGATGCCCTCGCGCTGGTACTCCTCCTGCTCCAGCACGAACATGGTGTGGTTGAAGAGCTGCTGCAGCTTCTCGTTGGTGTAGTTGATGCACAACTGCTCGAAGGAGTTCAGCTGCAGAGAGCGGGGCGTGAGCGGCGGCGCAGGCACAGCAGGGGAGACAGGGATGGAGGGCGGGGACAGGGGACAGACCGCCCCCCCCGCGCAGACCTGGAAGATCTCAAAGCCGGCGATGTCCAGGATGCCCAGGAAGGAGGCGCCCTGGCGGGGGCTGCGGTCCAACGCACGGTTGAGGCGCAGGACCAGCCAGCGGAAGAGGCGCTCGTAGGTGGCCTTGGCCAGAGCCTCCAGCGCGAAGTCGGCCTGCGGGAGCGACACGGGTGAGGCCTCCTGCAGGGGCCTGGCGCTGCCTCCACCCCCCCCCCAGCTCCTTGGTCTTCAACACCAATGACATAAGCAGCTGCCAGGTGTCACCCACTGTGTGCTCTCAGGAATTGTCCCCACCCCCAGGCTGTTTCCCACAGCTCCAGAACTCAGGAGCAAGAGAAGCTCAGTTCGAATCTCAGCCCTGCCACCCAGGTGCTGTGTGACACTGGCCCATGAGCGCACCTCTCTGGGCCTCATTTTTTCCATCTATGAAAGAGGGGATCAGCAATAACCACCTGGCTAAGAGAGGAACCGAGGTCAATGGAACCCCAAACTCATCTGCCTCCAGAGGGTCAGCTTCATCCTGATACCTCAACACCCAACCAGGGCCTCCTTATGTCCCCCACCTCTACCTCTGCTCAGGGACTAGGAGTCCCTGCAGCACTCGAGGGGGTCTTTATACCGAAGACAAATGTACTATCACTCCCTGATCTCCCACTGCACTCTGAAGAAAACTCACCTCCATACTTCAGTCCCTAATACCTTGCATGATCAGTCCCCTGCCGGCATGTCTAGCTTCACTGACCTCCCTGTCGATCCCAACTCATGGCGCTTGCTCCAGCCCCAGGGCCTTTGCACTTGCTGTTCCCTCACTAGTTTTAGTGCGAAGAGGCTCGAGCTGCCCGAAGACCCAGAATCATGCCAGCCTGCCACCTACCTGCTCCTTGGTCTGGGCTTTCTGAACGTAATCTCGGCCAACCTTGATGCGGGGGGTGAGCAGGGCTCGGGAGAAGTCGGTCACCCCCAGCCCCAGGAGGCGACAGAGCTTCTGCGCAGCTGCGGGCGAGAGGCAGCACATCCGGTCAGCACCGGAAGTGGCTGTGGCCACGTGCAGGGGAGAGGGTGCCGCTCCTCTCTGCCCAGAAAACTCTCCTCATAGGAACCAGGGCCACAGTAATCAACCACAACAATTGTGCATGCGAGTGGGGCTGTGCTACGAGGACGGTCACCGTGGTGAGCTTTATCCTGGTGACAACGAAGAAGTAACCCGAGTGCTCAACAAGTGGGGATCGGAAAGGAGCAGCAGAGGAAGTACAGCTCTTCGGTAAATGCAGGAACACGAGGTGTTCCTAAGTAAGTCCTTTTCGTTCTCATAAAGGCTTCGACATTTTTACCCAGAAAAGAATGGGGGGAAATTATGTGGGGATTATCTCATGAAACAGAACAAAGTGTGTAATTTTGAATTAAAAAAGAATTTAAATTTAATTCTAAATTGATGTAAAATAAAAGGATGATGGACTACATGTCTGTGTGTGTCTGTGTGGTGGCAGTAGGGATTGAACCCAGGGCCTTCCCACTGACCTACATCCTCACCCTTTTTTTTTTTTTTTTTTTTTTAGACAGGGTCTTGCTAAATTTTCAGGCTGAGCTTGAACTTGTGATCTTCCTGCCTCAACCTCCCAGACTGCTGGGATTGCAGGCCACCAGGCCTGGCTTCAACTACAGCTTAATTTTTATTTTTTATAGTTTTTTTAATTAATTATTTATTTATTTTTACATTTATTTATTGTGTGTGTGTGTGTGTGTGGCCAGCTCAGCCCACCAGGGGGCGGGGCGGGCTGGCATGTGGTGCTGGGGGATTGAACCGCCGTCCCTGTGCTTTGCTAAGCTTGTTCTAAGTAGGTGCTTTAGACCACTGAGCCATCTCTCCAGCCCCTACAGCTTAATTTTATAGGGAAAAGTTGTAGACACAAGCCCGGCCACAATGAAGCTACGTAGGTGTTTGCGGCGGCGGAGGGGAGAGCTTTGGGGGAGGTGTCTTTCTTCTTTCTGCTCTAACTTAACCCATAATAAAGAAATGTTTCAAAGCATCTGTTACTTGCAGTCTGGGGAACAGTTACTACAAACTCTCAGTGCCAGCAGGGGAGAAGACACCTAGAAAGGAGAATGCAGAGTCACTCTGCCCTCACTGCGCATGCTCTAGAGTGACTCTATATTCTGTGTGACGATTTCAGAGCTAAGCCAAGTGACAGAAAATATAGCAGGAGATAACTGCACTGTGGAATACTATGCAGCCACCAACAGGATGTTATTCTTAGGCTCTCAGCCTCTGGTTGCCCTTTGGCATCTCGTTAAGCCCATGGACTGTTTGTTCCTCTCCTTATTGTCTGAAAACAAAATACAGAGTTTCACAGATGATGGTGACCCATGGACCCTTGATTGGCAATCCCTGCCTGCAGAGTTCTAGGTGCCAGTCTGGAAAGTTACACCCAGTGCACGAAATGAAAAAGCGGGGTGCAAAATGGTTGGCAAGGTCTAACTCCAGTACTGTAACACAAATTACTGCGCGGAATGGGGCGGCTGTGAGCAGCGCCCCCAGAGCCACGAGTACCGCTGGGGGAGGGGCTGTCCCTCCTCCTCCAAAGACCAAGCTGTGGGATTTTCTAACAGGACGGAAGCTCTCGCCTTCTCCCCCGCTTCCGCCATAGGCTTGCCAGTTTCTGAAACAGAGGCTCCCGGAAGGCGCCTCACCCCGGGGCAACACCGCCAGTGACACGGCCAGTGCGCATGCTTGTGTCTCGGGCGTGAAGTCGTGGGCAACTCCTCCCTTCCCAGCTCGGATGGTTTTTATCATGTGGGTATTTGGTTAAAAAAAAATTGGGGCCAGGGAGACAGCTCAGCGACATAAGGACCTGCCTGGCAAGCACAAGGTCCCGTGTTTGATCCCTGGTACCAAAGGGGGGAAGGGGGGGGGAGAAAAAGGACTATTGACATCTATAATTTTGTTGTTGAAAACTAGAGGAAAAAAAGAAAAGAGAAGGTGGGAGTATTGGCGCATGCTTATAATCCTAGGACTCAGGAGGCTGAGGCAGAAGGATCACCAGCAGTTCCAGGCCAGCATGGACTACACAGTGAGTTCAAGCACAGACTGGAATACACAGTGAGGCCCTGTCTCAAAACATAATAACAGAGAGAGAGAGAGAGAGAGAAGATATACAGAGGCCTGAGGCTGGGGGAGTACGCCAAATGCTGGGCAGCATGGTGCTAAACTGTGGAAAATTAGAATCCTAAGAATAGAAGAAGCGATTTTGAAAGAACAGTAAGGGCAGGAAATTCTGGAGGGGGCGGAGCCAGGACCCTGTTTCAGCGTGGTGGGCGTGTCCAATCCGCCCTGTGGGCGGGGCCTGGGCCTTAGGGGGCAGGGCGGGGCGTCCTACCTGTGTTGTCCGGCATGGTGGCCTGGTCCGTGTTGCGTTCGCTTTTGAGGACCACGTTGCCGAACTGCAGCACGGCGGACACCATCCGCAGCATGGCTGTGGGCGGCAGGACAAGAGTCAGCGGCCTCTGAGCCGGCTGGGTGGACTTAATCAGTCCTTTAAACATATAATTCTTTTTTTTTTTTTTTTTTTTTTGCGGAACCAGGGAATGAACTCAGGCCGTTGCGCTTGCCAGGCACATGCTTATTCTACTGAGCCATCTCCCTGGTCCCTAAACATCTAAAAAGCCTAAGGCAAATTGTGCTCCCCCCATGCCCACCCAAAAACCCATCTGTGGCACAGAGGAGCCAGGCTTTTGGCCACACTTGGGATCTGCGGTTTGCTTTATTCCTATTGCCTTGTCTGTCCTGTGAAGTGATGCTTTCTTGGGAACCATCGATGGCAGCTGATGGCGACAGGAACAGTTTCTTTTTTGTTTTTTCTTTTCTCTCTCTTTTTTTTTTTTAATTTTAGGGAAGGGTCTACAAGGTATTCAGGGTCTCACTACTAGATCAGACTCGTAGTGATCTGCCTGTTTACAGCTTCCCAAGAGCTGGGATTACAGGCGCGTGCCACCAGGAACAGTTTCGAAATACTGAGCGGAAAATGTCAGGGGCAGAGCCGCTCACAGTGCCCCGGTGTCTGTATGGGAGAGGGAAGGTTTTGATTTTTGGGTTTCCGTGTTCAATACTGAATCCAGGGCCTTCACGCTGAGCTGTATCTCCAGCTCCTTTAAAATTTATTTTACTTCTGAGCTAGGTGTGGTAGCACAGGGCTGTAATCCCAGCACTCTAGTGGCTGAGGCAGGAGAATTGTAGTAAGTTTGAGGCCGGCCTGGGCTACATCGTCCAGAGTGGGCTACATAAGAGGCTTTGTCTCAAAAATTTTTTGATTTGTTTTGAGACAGGGTCTCCCTAAAATTGCTAAATTACCCAGGGTAGGCTAGAACTTGGGATCCTCCTGCCTCAGCCTCCCAGAGTGCTGGGATCAAGTCCTGTTGATTCTTGGACTTAGACTAGTTGTAAGGTCACCATAAGTACTACATGAGTGAATATGCGCTATTACTCTTGGGGGAAATAAGGGGTCAGGGTCCTGGGAGCCCCCTGTCATACGTGTTCATCAACCAATCAGATAGAGCCGTTTGCCTCGCGGGTTCCTTTTCCCAGACCCTGAGGCACACAGCGTATTGCTGACTCATGCAAAGAGCATGTTGCTGACTCACTCGGCGGTGTTTACACCCAGCGCAGCAGAACTCACACCTGACTGAAGGTCTTCTCATACCCTCCGGGCTCTTCCCAACACTGGGTGGCCCTTCAGGGGACATTTTGGTGAAATCAACCGCAAAGCACAAAAAATGTGGAAGCGTGGTACTGCAGGTACCAGGAGCCAGCCGCAGGCCGGACAGCGGACAGACGGACAGACGCCAGCCGGGCGCCACCTCCCAGGGAGCCTGAACTTTCCCCAGCTCTGCGCATGACTACAAATGACTAAAAAGCGGTCGGAGCTTGACTTGGGGTGACAGACAAATCCCGGGAGGAGGCGAATTTGCAAAGGCAGGAGCCCTGAGGAAGAGGCAGGCACAGGCGGCTGCTTCTCAGCAGAGCTGCAGGGGGCGCAGGGAGCCCAGAACCGGCCGAGCGCGGTCTCGGGCACCTGTGGGCGCGGGTGTTCGGGGGTCTGCAGAGACGGCTCAGGGCACCCCACGCTGACATCCCGCGCCACCCAGAACTGCTTCCCAAATGTCCGGTCCCACAGGACATTTGAATCTGAGAAATTGTGGCTTGTTACTTCCCGGGACTAATTTGCAACCGTTTTACCTAGAAACACAGAAGCGTTTTGTGCTTGGTTTTGAAACAACACTGAATCTTCCACAAGGGCAGCCACCCGTGTAATCCCAGGGAAGACGGCTGTGGGTTTTGTTCACAACTTTATCAAGATGTGGCCAGCGTTCCAGAACATTCTCAGGTTCTTTCGGCATCTGGCTGTGTGTGCCGCTGTTGTGGCTTTCTAGAACGTCTACCCTATTTACCCAGTGAGGTGACACACTAGTAAAATAAAAGACACATTGCCACTAATTCCCCTCAAAATACTCCCTTTTGATCCCTGCCACTCATTCCATGGTTCTTGCCACTTTCTGAAGCTGTCAACCTCTAACTCACAGCAACCCTCCTGCCTCAGCCTCCTGAGTGCTGGGATTACAGGTGTGCGCCACCACACCGGGCTGCTCTTATGCCTTCACGTGATTCAAAATGACTGCCTTTCACAGTCATTTTGACTTTGAGAAAGGTCTAGAAGTTGCCAGTGCCAGATTCGGTGACTAAGGTGCGGGTGGACCCAGCATACTGCTTTTTATAGGCCTGCCTTTCTCCCAGACAGCATGTCACCGTATAGTTTCTGAATCATACCTCCTAAAGCCGCTAAAGAGGCTTTCCAGAGCTGCTTCAGGAAGTGTCAAGAATGATGGGATAAGCGTGTTCCAGAAGAGGAAGATACTAAGGGGGATTCATGGCAACGTGTCTTTTATTGTAATAAGGATTTTAAAATTTAAACACGCACCATGTATTTTGATCATACCACATAAACGGGCAAGCTTGGTGCACACACAGAACAGCACATAGATCGTAGGCTCCCGGCTCCAGGAAGGCTGAAGGAGGGGACACCACACGTGGGACAGCCCCCAAGAGCCCCTGCGGGCCACCCCACTGCCACAGGTGGTTTTCACAGCACAGGGCAGAGGGGGCAGGCCGCCTGGCTGTCTGCACCACACCTGCAGTGGCCTGCCCTAGCTGGCGGGGGGGCTGTGCTTAGTGTGCTGACCACGGGGAGGAGGTGGGCGTCCAGCGGGATCCAGGCAGGACATCAGTGCCAGAGCAGAGCTGCCATGGCAGGCAGGGCAGTGGGGTGGCGCAGGGTGTGTGCGTGGGGTACAACTTGGGCCGCAGCCCAGCCAGACACGGAGCTAGATCTAACCCCAAGGGAACTGCGGGAACTCGAGCGAGCTGACGGCCTTGGGTGATAAGGGCAGCCTCAGACATGGCACTGGTCCAGATGGAGGAGTGCAGAGAGATCAAATGCGAGGTGAGGTCCTCACCAGGGGCAAGGGAGGGAGTGTGTGTGTGTGTGTGTGTG